TGACTCTACGCTCATGTGTGTGCAGGCAGTGTAGATGTGGTGGTGGGGGGGAGCGGTTGTAATGAAGTTGGGGGACATGGAGAGGTACTGAAGAGAAGGGAATAGAGACTGGATTTGATGAAAATATATCATAAATGAAATTCTCAAAAAGAAAAAAAAAGAATGTTGTAGTTTGGGTCAGGGTGTAGCTAAGTTATAAAATACTTGCCTAACATATACATTGCCCCCCATTAAAAAGGCAGAAAATGATGGCATCTGCCTGTATCAGCTCTTTGATTCTTGAATAGTTAATATGGTTTGCAATATGAGGGAATTTATTTGCTAGACTAGTCTGGTAGGTGTGGGAATGGATAAAATAGTAACAGAAATCATGCCTTAAACGGTATTGCCCACCTTACAAAATAAACCTACACAATAATATACTATATACTATAATCCCATATAAACCTACACAATAATATACTATAATCTACTATATATACTATAATATACTATATACTATAATCCCTATAAACCTACACAATAATATACTATAATTTACTATATATATACTATAATATACTATATGCTATAATCTATATACTATAATAATATAGTATAATCTAAGCCGAGCGGTGGTGGTGCACACCCTTAATCCCAGCACTCGGGAGACAGAGGAAGGCGGATCTCTGGGAGTTCAAGGCCAGCCTGGTCTACAAGAGCTAGTTCCGGGACAGGCACCAAAGCTACAGAGAAACCCTGCCTCGAAAAAAAAAATACTATAATCTACTATATATATACTATAATATACTATATACTATAATCCCTATAAACCTACACAATAATATACTATAATCCCAGTTCAAAAACAATTCGTTTGGAGCTAGAGAGATGGATCATCAGTTAAGAGTACTTGCTGCTCTGGCGGAAGAGGGGAGTTTGATTCCCAGCACCCACATTGGGTAGCTCACAACCATCTGCAGCTCCAGCTACGGGGATCAGCAGCCTCTCCTGCCCTCTTTGAGCATGTACACACATGGATGCATAAATACACACACGTGTAAACTGAAAAGGATTTTTGTAAAAATTTTTTTCTTTGTAAGAATTTTTTAAAGATTTTTTTTTGTTCATATTTAGAGATTTTCTTTCACATTAGTCCATGTTGATAAGGCAGGAACTTTCTAGAATTATGACCTAGTAAGAGGCAAGATGGTGCTTCTTGATTTGTCCTCCCTTGTTACCCCCCACCTCAGAGCAGAAGATGGAGGGACAGCCACAGCACCAGAGGGTGACACTGACGTGAATCTGCTAACCTCGCAAGAGAAGAAAGTGCATAGGAAATGACCTCAGAGGTCTCAGACCTTGGTGTGGAGGTAAGAGCAGTCTCTGCAACCGCAGAGTTCAAGCCTGCTCCGCATGCAGTGTGCCCACGTATCTGCAAAGCCTCGACCACACTAACTGCCCTGTGAAAAACGAGAGCACACAGTACTCCAGAGCTCGCCCCTGAGCCCGGCCAAAGAGCAGAGCCTGGGAAGTGTGGGGGCACGAGTTTCCAGAATCCGGCTTCAGTATCCTCGCCTTTGGAATTTGCTCCTGTGACCACTGCAAAACTACTGAGGATAGAGGAGGAATGACCCTGGAGAGAAGGGAATGTACCGAGTCCCGCGTCCCCAGAGGGTCCCCAGCGGAAGCCAGGGTGAGGAATGCAAACGTCTTCAGGAATGGGGAGGTTCAAAAAGGGTGCCGCCCCCCTGACCCTGAGGCAGCCCAAACTCCACTAGATCCCAGGATTTGGGGGAGGAGGAAGACAGAGTCAAGAAGCAAATTTTAAAGGAAAAGCGTTTTGGAAGGAAGACAAAAGGAGGCAGAACCAATGGGCTACTTTAAACCTTCATGACCTCTCTTTTCTCGCTGTTGGGAGAAAATGCAGTAGGCAAGAAAGGAAGACACATCAGGTCACCTTCCGGGAAGGTCGTGGAGCAGGCAGGCAGCCACACCTGGGATATAAATAGCCCAGAGAAACTGAGCTCCACAGTGCTCAGGACCTGAAAGCCCCCAACTCCGGAGACACCAAGAAACAGGCCGCCTGGGGGGGCATCCCCCTCTGCAGCTTCTTAGGGACTGCAAATGAGAAGGAAGCGTCATTCTGTTTCCTCTCTTGCCCTTCTGCAAAGTGCATACTAGGGCCTAGGTGTGTCTGTTTAAACCTTGTCTTTAGATTTAGGGAAGGAAGAAGGGCTGGGTGTGGCAAGGCAGATAAGCACGTGACAATGATCAATACGTGTCTTCTTAAACTTTTGCCAAAAAAAAAAATGACCACAAAAAAAAAAAAAAAAAGAATAGGGCTGACTTCAGTTACCCATCCACAAGTCAAAGGAAGTTTTAGAAGGGTTTAGAGTCAGGAGAATCTGGGTCCAAACATGGACAAACCACTAAACTCTTCTAGACCGGTTTCCTCATTTGAAATAGAGACAATCGTCCTGAGAATTAAATAGTGCATTGCAAATTCTTAACCAGTAAATAACCAGGCAAGTGCTGTTGTTTAATCCTGTGTGTTAAGTGGGAACGCATGTTTCGAACTCGAGCGATTCTGGGAGGCAAAATTGGATCAAAGGTCTTCCAAATACAATCCCCCAAGGGACAATGTCCTTCTTCCTTAGTTGTCCCTTCTTCCCAGTCCGTCCAGTTCTCTCTGGGTAATGGTCTTGTGCTGGGCGAGGCTGGGGTTTCTCTCCCCCCACAGGCTGTCACCCTGTAATGTTTGTTCTGCTTCCTTCCTTTCCAAAGTCTAGCAGATTAGATTGCTGAGTGCCGTCCAGCTTACCAAGACAGACAAGAAAGTGAAAGTAGGGTGGAGAGAGCTCACCAAGAGCAGCACAGCAGCCAGCCCCAAGTCCTAGCAACCAAGCCCTTAGAGAGGGCAGAATAAAGAAAGCCTTGTTGCTCTCTGAGACCCCAAAGCTGTGGTCTATGTCAAGTTAAATCTGAGCCATTCGAGCCTACAGCAGGGGCATTGCCCAGCTGTGCACCTGCATGACAACATGACAGGAAATCAAAGAGGTATCGCTCCTGCTGTTTTGACTGTCTAGTGTCCCAGCACTTTCAGCACACACCTGGAAGGAAGGCAGTGATGCTCTCCCGGGGCTTGACTGAGCAGCTAACACTGGTCTTCCTCACCCACCCTCTCTGGGGCTGGGAAGGGGGGTCACAAGGCAAGCTCTCTGTCATTGAGGTCCATCCTACCACCCCTTTCCCACTATTGCAGGTTCAGCTCTTCAGTAGCCCCGTGTGTTCCGGATTGATTCTGTTCCCCACCCCCCCCCACCCCCAGGAAAATACCAAGCTGAAGAGAACGGGTTCAGCTCACCATGATGACGTGAGGAAGATTGCAGGCCCTACTTCCTTACACAGAAGAGAGAAGCAGCAAGCGCCAATGTAAGGGAAGAGAAGGGTTTGCAGTCACCCTTCACCAAACAGCAGGCCGTTTGGGCAAACTCGCGAGCTAAGAGGTGGGTAAGGATCCACCGTCAGGCAGCTAAAACTCCACTAGGAATACCACACTCTCTAAAAGAAGTTTGCAAATACAGCCAAAGGACTCTCGGTCGGTCGAAAGAAAGACATCAGCTAGAGGAAAGCCCCATGACTCGGTTTGACGTCCTACCGTTCCTCCGTTTGCTCTCGGCTATAGCTTTCATTCATTTGCTCAACAAACGTTACTCTCGCTAGAACCCTGACTCAGGCAGCACCTAAGGGAAGCTAAGATCTGCCATGACGATTGCGCTGCACACAAACCGTCCTCTGGCCTCTCCAAACACCAGGGCTCTCCAGCTTGGTAGTTTAGGGGCTCTGCACAGCCAGGGATCTCCACTAGTCTCCAGCCCACTCCCTAAAAAACGGGGTTGAGCTTCTCGCTCACCGCTCCTCACTTCTGTCTTAGTACCCAAACAAGTCAGTGGATGCGACTGGGATGAAGATAAAACTTCTGCCCTTTCCAGCGTCTCTTGCTTAGCTGCTGCTGCAAACTCTGTCCTTCCCCTCGGAGGGAGGTAGACAACAAAGAACGGGGGAGGAGGGACGACTTGGAACTTCAGTCCCAACTGCAAAGCAAAGTGCCCCCCAGGAGCCACTGCTGGTTCAGAGGACCCCCCCGCCCCGTCCTCCTCTAGTGTTTATATTCCCCTGAAAAACTCTTGAGTCCTAACCAGGACAGGAGTTACAATGGGAAGATGCTCAAGAAGGAAGGAAGCTTTTAAGGTGAAAGCCCAGGGCACGACTGCCTGGGGCAGAAGCGAACAAGGTGCCCTGGGAATGCCCTGATACTTTTTTCTTCCCATAAGACCTAACCTCGTCCCTCCTCTCTTTTTCTTTTTCCTTTTAAATTTTAACAACATAGTCTCTGAAACTGAGCAGAACAGGCATGCGAGGACGCTAAGAAGACAGAAAAGGCAAGCTTCCCCTCGAAAAGGTTACCTAACCTGGCACCGACCTGCGTTTTCCACCAAGTCACCTCCATTGCCAGGAATGCGAGAAGCCCGTGGCAGGACCAAACGAAAGGAGGAGTTTCCCCGGGGGGAACATTCTAGGCCCGCCAAATTAAAAATGAGGGAGAAGGAGAAGGGAGAGACTCTAGCACCCAACTCGTGCCAGAGAGACTTGCCTGGGATGTTCTCTGTGCTCCTCCCCTACCCGCTGCCTGGGCAGTTCTTGCGGGGCTACTACCCGGACGCTAGAACCAGGGAGAAGTTTCGCCGCTGCAAACGTGAGAAAATGCAGCTCCGCAGGACACCGCCCCCACACGCCCCACCCCACAGCCCGACCCCTGGCGGTGGCGACCTTGGTCACCCTGGGGGAGCAGCGCTCGGAGGAGGGGCTGCCCTCGGGGTTTTCCTGGGAGCTAGAGAGGTCGCCAGCTTCGGGCCACCTCCGGTCGCCATGCACCACCCGGACTGGCGCCACCAAGCCCGCGCGCCCCACTCCTCTCGGCCAGTGCCCCGGCCCTTGCGCCTCTTCACCCGACTCACCGCGCTGAGCGCAGCAAGGGTCGCATCAGGTCCCAGGGCTCTGCGCCTCGGGGCTGCGGCTCCCCGCCCGTCCCGCCGTTCTCTTCTCCCCCACCCTCTGCTGTCCTCCACGCCGTCTCGAATCTTTTTTCCGGGTTAATTACGTTTCGCAGTAAAGCAAAACCCAGCCCCGGATGTGAGTACAATGCTCCGCGGGCCTCTGGGGGAGGAGAGGGGTGCGGGGACCGCTCGCGGGGACGGCAAAGGGGATGGCAAGGAGGGGGGGTGTGTGGCCCTGTCGCAGCAGGTGTCCGCGCTGGGGTGCAGGACAGGCACTTCCCGAGCCTACTCCGCAGGGCGCAACCCGCCCAGCTGGTGGTGGCCCCAGAGAGCGAGGGGGCGTTGGGTTTAGGGGTGGAGAGAAGAGCGCCTAGCCCTGAGATCTTCAGTGCGCCCGGGAATCCCAGCGGGCTACGGGCGGGCGCTGACCCGGCTTGCCTGGCCCTTCTCGGAGTATGGAGCTCAGTGGGAAACAGAAGCCTGGATTCGATAGGTTCGGCCTAGGGTGACAGGACAGAACTCCTGCTCCCTCACCCTGCAGCCACACAGCAACCCATAGGTATCAGTCCCATGCCAGATGAGGAAACCGAGACTCCGAGATGTTAGGTAACATGCTCTGGGTCCCCAGTCAGTAGAGGGCAGGTCTGTCCGGTCTGACACAGGCCTTCCTCGTGGGGACATAGACATTTAAATATAAGTAAAGCCAAGCGGACAACATCCGAAACCTAAATATAGTGGATTCGCCCAGGGACTGGGCACGGAGGGATGCGGCTTCTGGGGGATGCTGATGTCAGCCCTATGAGTCCAAAGAGTTCTGGGAGGGAACAGGGTGAAATTCGCTCCGGGAGGGTATGCAGGACCAGGCCTGGATTCGCGGGTCGGGAGGAAAGGCCAGCCCACAGCAGAGCTGCGTAGAGCAAGGCAGCCGGGACCAAAACCTGGGGGGCGAGGGCCACAGCCAGGTGATCCGGCAGGAAGGCGGGACAGCCCGCAGCACACGCCCCGAAAGCTCCAGTGATGAAACCGCAGGCGCTTCCTCTTCTATTTTGATTGCCAAAGCGAAAATGAGCCGCCCAGTTCGCTCAGGTGTGAAAAAAGACGTTTGCTTTAGAACATTCTGCTCTGAATGAGGAAGGAAAAGACACAAGGTTGAGGGGGGAGCCATTTCCCTTGAAATAAACATCAACGTCAATTTTGCGCATTCGTAGAGGTCTGGTGTCCTGCACATGGGCTTCAGGCAACCTTACCCTCAAGCTGGGTAAATCCCAGCCGGCTCCCATCCCCTAGGCAGCTTGTGATCTGTGACTCGCTCGGTACCTCAGTTTCTACATCTGGGTTAGTGAGTCAATTCTTGCAAAGTGTTTCTTTCCAACACAAAGGTGCGTTGTGGTGTGTGTGTGTGTGTGTGTGTGTGTGTGTGTGTGTGTGTGTGTTTTGTTTTGTTTTTTATAAGGAGATGGTCATTTTTACCGTAAAAGGAGCATAACTCTTTGGGGGTTGGGGGTGAATTCGTACTAGAAGTCATCAGCTTGGGTCGGATTTGCTGAATGAGTGCCGAAAAATCCCACAGGAACGATGGCTTAGCAGCGGCGCAGCACAAGGGTCAGATTTCATGGTATGGTTCCTATTAAAACCCATTAAACTGCTCCTGTGGGGACCGCCTCACCCGTCACAGACCCACAGATATCTTCTGAGCACCACTGTATTGACTGCCTGGTAGGGAGGAAGCCGAAGGCCTCAGTTTCCTCCACAGACAAGGTGGGAGCCTGTACCCTTCGAAATGGCGCGAGGAATCTACCTTCAATATTTCAGAGAGCCAGAAGAGCCTCTCTGACAGGCAGGGATTCTCACTGGCTGAGCTTTGAGTGAACCCAAGAAGCAGTTTAGGTCAGCTTTACTCTCCCAGGGAGGGCAAAACTGGGAACTGAAGCAGGGTTAGTTCACTGGCAGCCCCATTAGTGCCGCCTCTGTCCCTGGCAGGGGTTAGATACTTTCTGCGCTGAATCCAGTTCCATCATCCTGGGTTTCCTAGGCGTCTCAGATGGTCTCTTCTGCCTGCTCTAACAAGTACCACCGAACAAAACTAAACCCGCTAGAGTCCGTCTCTGTCTCTCATAAAATACATATACTGGGAATTACACCGTTGTAATCAATTTGAAGTGCACACGTGGTGACATTCAGTGGCATATTGCACACTTGTCACCACGGTACAGTTCCAGACACTTTTCATCACCTCTAAAGGTGACCTCGGCGCATCCTCTCCTCCCTTCTCCCAGCCTTGAGTAGTCACTAGTTTGCTTTCCATCAAGCCTTTTTTATCAAGTCTACATCTATGGGACATTTCGCACGAGGGAAGTCACATGGCAGAGGCTTTTGTGTGCAGCTTCTCACATGCTGGGCCTTCCTTGATAAACTCTTTGAAATCTTTCATAGTCTGACCTGATGCATTAACTTTGATTCTCTGCAATAACCCACCAACGTGAGTCTTACCTATAGGGAAGGGGACATCAAAGACGATCTTTTATGTAAACTATTTTGGTACCCTCACTGGATCAGAACAACATAAATTTCCGAAAAGGGGTTTAAGGTTTTGCAGCTAGTTAGCGGTTTCAGGGCTTAACTTCTGCTAGATCTTCCAACAGAGAAACTTGCCCTGAAAATGGGGATGTCTAGTCAGGACCTAAGAGTCAAAGCAGCCCCATGTCTAACACGGCTATTTCATCATGTGCTTTCTATTTTCAAAGCTGGTGAACTGGGGAAGCTAATGACATCAAGTGGTGAGCCAGCCTTACCTCCAGGGAGCTGTATTAGTCTTTGCCCTCAGAGGTCCCTATTATTAAGGTTCTGAGCTGCAGCTGGGGCCACTTGATGAGACCAAAGTCAGTTCACTTGGTCTTCTTCAAAACTGTTTTGTCCAGAGATAAACTGCTCCCAGACCACATAGTGTACCTCCAAGATTCAGAGACCATTTTTCTAGGTAACTATTATTTTATTAGTAAAGTGCCATAAAGTAATTTCATCATACAATTCTAAGATTACTTAAACTATTATTATTCTGCTCAGGTTTCGAGCCAGTTATTTTGCTTCCTATATTCATTCTATTTTCTCCTTTTTAGGGATACGCTGTTAAATGCTTGACACATATTCCCCAATTCAGGTCTTACAATGATGCTGAGTGCCAGGAACCATTATTTTCCTATTTGGGGTTGGAAAACTGGCTACTACAATACAAAGATGAAGCCTGGGTATGGAGCCCAGCAGCCTGATGCCAATGTCTGCCCTCTTTCCCCTGAGCTACACTGATTTGTGATGGGCCTTATAAAGGCCTCAGGACAGAACCCAAGACTCTGCCCCTCAGTTCTAGTCATCATATTTCTATCTCATCTACAATAATATATTGAAGGGCATGTCCTAAAGGAAGTGATGGCATCATAAAGACAAAGATTTCCATATGCAGATGTGTCTATGGGCATATTCCCACTGCAGCATTGCTCACCATGGGAAAAACTGGAAATCATTTAAAGGCTAGGACACGTCAACACTGGTGCCTGGGTACATTTGTTTTGTTTTGTTTTGTTTTGTTTTTCGAGACAGGATTTCTCTGTAGTTTTGGAGCCTGTCCTGGAACTAGCTCTTGTAAACCAGGCTGTCCTTGAACTCACAGAGATCCACCTGCCTCTGCCTCCTGAGTACTGGAATTAAAGCTGTGCACCACCACCACCAAGCTAATTATTTTTATTCTCTGTGTATGAGTACACTCCTATACTGTGCCCTGACCAAGAAAGAATACAGTTCGGTTGGTGATGTGGGATTCCCCTCTGTATGCTGTGAATGTGCTTTGTTACCATTGGTTAATGAAGAAGATGCTTTGGGCCTATTGCAGTGCAGAATACAGCAAGGTGAGAATTCCAAGCAGAGATAGAGGGGAAAAAAAGGTGGAGTCAGAGAGATGCCATGTAGCTGCTGAAGGAGACACTGGAACCTTACCAATAAACCAGGAGTCTTGTGGTAAAATATATAATGGAAATGGGTTAATTCAAGATTTAAGAGCTAGCTAACAATATGCCAAAGTGATTGGCCAAGCAGTTTTTTAATTAATACAGCTTCTGTGTTATTATTTTGGGTCTGGGCAGCCAGGAATGAATGAGCAGCCTATGCCTACAGGTTGAGAGCATGATTCAGTGGTACAGCACCTACTAAGAATGCACAGGAAGCCCCAGGGTTCAGCTCAGAGGAGCAAAGGAAGAGCTAGAGGGAGTGGGAGGAGAGAGGGAAGGGAAAATCCTATTTTAAAACATTACAAAGCTGTATATGCAATACAAAATATATATGTGAATGATTTATTCTGAATTTTTAAAATAATTTATTTTTATTTTATGTGCATTGGTATTTTGCCTGCGTGTACGCCTGTGTGAGGGTGTCAGATCTTAAAGTTACAGACAGTTGCTCACTGCCATGTGGTTGCTGGGAATTGAACCTGGGTCCTCTGGAAGAGTAGTTAGTGCTCTTAACCACTGAACCATCTCTCTAGCCCTTATTCTGAATTCTTAATCACGGTTCTCTTTGAGCAAAGCGAGGGGCTATAACTATGGATTTCACTTCTAAGATATATATTCTGCAGTGTTTTTAGGGTTGTGTGCATTCACCTGTGTGTTGGTGTGTATGTGTGTGTGTGTGCTTGTGTGTGGAAACCAGAGATTACACATCTCTTGATCATTCTCTATTTTTCATTTCCTCAGGCACCACCATGTCTCACGGAATCCTGAGTGTGCCGATTCAGCTAGTCTAAATAAAGAAGCTTGCCCCAGGAATCCCTCATCTCTGCTCCCAAGTGGTGGTTCATTATTAGGCCGCGGTGTCTACCCAGCTCTTCTGCGGGTCCTGGAGATCCAAACTCCAGTCCTCATGCTTGGGCAGCGAATGCTTGCCTTCACTGAGCTCACTCTCTAGCGCATGCTTATTTTATTTTATTTTATTTTATTTTTTTTGCAGAAATGCATGTGTGTATCTAGTTATCAAAAGAACAATAGTTTTAATAAATTATTAAAAGTTTTAATAAAAGTTGGGACTGGAGACGTGGCTCTGTGGTTA